TCTCTCCACCCTTCCGTCTCTATCTCCATCTCTGCATATCTTTGTCCATTTCTCTCTCTGTATCTCTCTCTGTCTTTCCATCTCTATCTCTAACCTTGGCCTATCTCTCTCTTTTTTATTTCTGTCTTTCTCTGCCTCTCTGTGTCTCTTTCTTTCTCTCTGTGGCCCCCGCACCCACCCCTTTTTACTCTTTCATCTGCCACTGTATTCCCTGAGCTGTAGCAAGAATCATCTCTGATTCTTGGGGACAAAGGCAGGCAGGCAGGGTCCCCTCACAGCATAAACCGCACCCTGGTCTCTCCCCATTCATCCCTCACCAAGCGCCCAGGGCAGGTTCAAGGTCCCTGCTCTACTGTTTACCCGGCAGCCCAGCAGGACTCAGGCCAGGAGGGGGCAAGTGAGGTGAGATCCCCTCCACCCTCCCAGGCCAGGACCCCACCACGGGGTTTGGTGCTGAGCAGGGTCCTGGGGCCCCGACCTCAGCATCTATATAACAGACTCTTGGATGGGGGCACTTAGCAGACTGTGCTCTCAGGGAATAAGCCCAGTGGGGATTCCAGGAGGGAGGGAGGAGGCTGACACAGTCCATGGTGTCCCTCTGCCTGCAGGGACCCTCCAGTGCAGGGCAGGCCCTGCAGACACCCCTCCCCACACGAGGGCTCACCATTTCTCCATGTGGTCTGACCACTGGTCAGCAAGTCCCCCACCCCCAGCTCAGGCATCACCCTTGTTTAACCTGTCTCTCTCCATGCTCACCTAGGCCCCAAGTGGTCAGTCCCCCCACCCACCCCCATCTGTCCACTGGGGCTGTGGTGACAAAGGCCCCAGTATGGGAGGGTGACTTTAAAGAAGAGAAACTTCCTGTCTCAAATTCAGGAGACTGAGAGCGCAGACTCAGGCCGGGCAGGCACCTCGCTCTGGGCGCAACCCGAGGCCCTTAGCTCAGTTCCCACAGGCTGTCCTCTCGGGCTGTCTCCCTGACCAGCCTTTTGTTCCATAAACTGTCACTCAGAAGTGACCAGCGTTACGTCCACCGGGCTGAGTCACTGCCCTTGAGTGGATAGATTTCTGCTCACGACCAACCCATGTGCAGAGAGCTACCCTCGGGGTTCGGGACCTCCCAGAGGCAGTTCTCCGTGAGTCCAGTGCCCACCTCTGCCCAGAGGCTCAGCACTCACCATCTGTAACATCCAAATCTGTTTGTCCGGCGTGTGGCCACAGCTGCAGAAGGGCCTATTTCCCTGGGCAGCGTCCACTCACCCTGCATGACTGTGGGCACCCTGCATGACTGTGGGCACCCTTCGGTGCTTTGGGGAGGCACAGTTCAGTCAATGCCAGGGTGGCCTTGGTCGTGCAAAGTTCCCTCCTTCAGGCTCTGGCGTGGTATTGCCGAGACCACACTTTCCACCCACGCACCCCTCTTCTCAATTTCTAACTTTCCTCCTCCAGTTCTCAGTAATTCTCAGTGCTCTTTAATCAGAAGCTCTGTGGTGTCATCTGTAGGGGGTTGTGCACCTCACTGAGGGTTCGAATCCACCAGATGCTTCGAGGGAGAAAGATCAACAGTCTCTTCCGGTGCCGTTTAGAAGCTCAGCAAACCCACTGGGGGACGAACAAGGAGTTGGCTCCCATTCGGCAGCAATGAGTCTGAGTTTCTTGATTGTTTGACCCTTGTTGGCCTGAAGGGGACACCTCGCTGATGTCAGAGTGCACCCCGGAAACCCCCGCTGTCACATCCCTGAGGTGCCCCTGAGGTGAGGGCACAAAGTAACACTGTCACTCCTTCCAGGTTCGCACGAGGACGGGCCAGGCCAGCAGGAGAAGCCAGGATGTTCGGCCTCTGGGGGACATTCTACAGTGTCCTTTACTACGTTACCATCGTGGTGGCCGCGGCCGGGCTGGTGGGCAACGGGCTGGTGCTCTGGTACCTGGGCTTCCACATTGCCAAGGGCCCCTTCAACGTCTACCTGCTCAACGTGGCCGCCGCAGACCTGCTGTTCCTGGGCTGCCAGCTGGCCTTCACCGCCGTCCAGGCCACCCTGGGCTCCGACTCACTCTACTTCGTCGTCACCTTCCTCTGGTTCGCGGCTGGGCTCTGGCTGCTGGCGGCCCTGTGCGCCGAGCGCTGCCTCTCGGACATCTTTCCCGGCTGCCACCAGCGCTGCCGGCCCCGCCACACCTCGGCCGCCCTGTGCGTGCTCATCTGGGCGCTGACGCCGCCGGCCGTGCTGCTCCCCGCGCGTGCCTGTGGCCTGCTGCGCTCCGGCCTGCGCCCCCTCGCCTGCCTGCACCTCCACGCGGCCAGCGTCACCTGGCTGCTGGCCCTCGCCGCCGTGGCCTGCACGGCGGGCCTGGTGCTCGGCCTCTGGGTGGGCTGCTGCTCCTCCAGGCCCAGGCCGCGCTTCTACGGCCTCGTACTGGTCTCCACGCTGTTGGTCATCCTGTGCGCCCTGCCCTTCATCCTCTACTGGAGTCTGCGCTCGCTGATCAGCTTCCTGCTGCCCCCGTTCCCGCCCATGGCCACGCTGCTGGCCTGTGTCCACTGCGGCGTCAAGCCCCTGGTCTACTTCATGCTGGGCCGCCAGCGCGGGAAGAGGGAGCCCCTGAGGGTGGTCTTCCAGCGGGCTCTGGGGGAGGAGGCCGGGCGCGGGGCTGCGGGGCTGTCCCTGCCCATGGGCCACCTGTAGATGGTGTCCCGGAGCTGCCAGTCCTCATGGGGAACCTTCCCACAGACAGCCCCCTACCCCACCAGACCCTGGGCACACCCGCTGTCAGGATGCGAGAGGGGTGAGGGGCTGACAATGAACTAACGACCTCCTGGCCCCTCCACACCCCCAGCAGCCTTTCTTCGAGCCCCTCCCAGGACCACAAGGGCCCCACCCACTTCTTAGAAATACCTTGGACCTCACCAATCATTAAGATACAAGGAAGGTAGGGGACAGAAGCCCCACATCAACCCCCAGAAAGATACTGAGGCCTCATTAACCCTGAGGGCCCAAGTCAGGGACAGATGCACACAGTTCCAATCCCCCAGCTGTCTGGTGGGAGAAGGACGGGCAATCTCCACCCCGCTATTAACTGCCTCTGAAAACCCACCAGAGGGTCAGCTAGAGGTCAGTCCTGACTCAAGGGTGCACAACAACCCAATCCATTCAGCTCCCCAGGACCTCCCCAGTGTCACAGGAGCCCCACTCCATAGAAAAATGCTGGGACCAGAACCCATGGTGAGGCACGCAGTGAGGGACCGTGTGACCCTGGCCTCCCAAAGCCAAGGTATCAAAAGACCAGGGAGGAGTGGGAAGGAGGCAAGGGGAGACTTCAGCACAGAGACTTCCCAACCTGGACTCCTCCTCCACCCCACCTGCGCTCCTGTTTCACGCGGGAATGAGGGAGTGAAAACCTGGCTGGTCCCTGTGAACCCCAGCTTGGTGAAGTGAAGCCCAGCTTTCCAGAGGCCAGTCTTTCCCCTTTAAAGGGTCATGTGGGTCCTTAGAAAGGACATTCAGGTGGAGATACCCGCTCGTTCTTCTCCTCTTTACCCCTGGCACACATACACACCCAGAACCCCAAAACCCAGAGGGCTGCACCTCACCTCACCACTGTATCAGCAGAGACCACCAGGAGGCGCTGCTCCTTCACTCTGCAGAGCAGCCCTGGGCGCCCAGGAGGGAGGTTTTACAGGACTGGCCCCACCGCTTTCCTTGCCCAGGCCTGGGCAGAGTGCTGTCAGGCCCTCTCCTCCCAGATCCGGGGTTCGCCTGCGCCCGCGCACCTCTCCAGCACCCTCTCCTCCCAGCTTTTGCATCCTCTGTCTCTAGGGCTAGCTCTGGAAAAAACCAGTCAAGACTTTTTTTAACTTCCAAAATATACATCATTTTATGTATCTTCTAACGACACAAACCACCCGTAGTCTTTGGAACCATACCCACTGCTGTGAGGCGGTCCCTGTAGGGCAGCGCCAGCACCCCCCGCCCCCCAGGTGGCCCTCTGCTGCGGGCCTGCAGAGCTCTCAAGCATGGTCAGCACACCGATGTGTTTATTAAAACAAGGGATGTTAAGTCAGATCTTAATATTTTTAATAAAATATCCATTTTAATATTCTAATTGGAAAGAAACTGTGTTTTTTTTCTTTTTCTATAGCCAAAACTAAGAAATAATTATAAGAGTTTCTAGGGCTTGCCAACTACTATAGAACTTGGATTCCTAATTTTTCCTTGTTAACTCAATTACTACATAAATATTTTTAAAACATTAAATTACTTTTTCCCCCCAAACTATACCAGAGGATCAGAAAGCTATAACTAAACTAAAAAAAAAAAAATAGTCCAATGAAAATCCAAAACTCTAAGAAACACATCTACACTTATGCATTCCTTACTTGGAAATTTTTATTTGTACATAAAATCTCCAGAAATACTTCAGGTATTTTAAATCAGAAACACTTCAGTTATTTTAAACAGCACCATAGGCCAGTAGGCCATTGCAGTCGGCAGCTTAATCTTATGGGTGCTCTCACTTCATCAGTCTGTTGCTGCCACAGACAAACTAGTTGGATACACTGCAGAAATAACTGGGAAATCGTTAAATATTTTTTTATCCCCTGTGCAGCATCTGCTATACTTTGCTTTGACTCAACATCTCTCTGCCAGTTGACTCATTTCCAGTGAAGTAGTTCTCCTTGGCTATACCTAATATTAGGCAAGATTCTGTGGCCTTGTTTAAATCTTCTCTCATTCCTTTCAGAAGCTGACAGAGCAGTTTATTCAGTTTTACATAATTGTTAGTTTTTAAAATGAATTTTTCTAAGATGAATTCATTAAGATTATGATGATTTATGAGCAAATGAGGGTAACGTCCCTTTTGCTATTTATTTCAGTAAGGCTAAGATAACTTTACTGGAGCTCTGGTGGGCTAGTGATTAAAGGAGTTGTGCTACCAAACCAAATGCACTCAATTAAAATCCACCCACAGATATCAGGGAGAAAGATGAACAACTGCCTCTGGTATGATTTCTTTCTCTGAAAACTCATTGAATAGTCAGGTATGAGTCAGTTCTGAAAGTATATAACAACAACAGCAGCAGCAAGAGCAACAGATAACCTGAGAGGCAATTTGTTAGGCTGCTTTATCAGCAAGTTATTCCTTCTTACTCCTACAGTCTAAGGGACTCCTTCAGGTTGTTGAGTCTGTATTTTATCACAGCAATCCCAGAAGAGGGTACTAAAGCATAAAAAGAGCTGTTACTGAAGTTCCATTTTTTTATGGCAATTTCAGAAGAAATTAAAAATTCTGTTCTCATAAAAAGCCAAAATTTTTTTTTAATTCTGCAATTCATATAAATAGTCATGAATTTTTCTAGACTAACCTGCAAGCTCTAGTAAGAACTATCAGTTTGGTTCCTTGAACCGAAGTAGCTCTGGGAAGTGCTTGACTTTCAATAACCTTAGTAGAGGTTATGATGATACATCTACCCTAACAGCAAGATCTAGTAAGATCAGGTTTCAAATTTAGTTCAACAAATAGAACTAAATCAGAATTAGTGCACATTTTTCTTAAATATTTTTGGGAAGTTAAAATGCGTTTAGTTAAATTTAAGCAAATGTGTGTTAGGTAATCCTTACTGTCAATTTCTGGAAGGAATGTGACAAGATTTAAACAAGCCACAGAATCTTGTCTAATATTAGGCATAGGCAAGGAGGAGTACTTCATTGGAAGCGAGTCAACTGGCAGAAAGATGTTGAGTCAAAGCAAAGTATAGCAGATACTTCATGGGGAATAAAAACATTTAAAGATTTCCCAAGTTATTTCTGCAGTACATGCAACTAGTTTGTCTGTGGCAGCAATATCATTTAACTAACTTTGTGTTTGTTTTCAGGAGCAGCCAGTCTTTGAAAAAGGACATCATACTGGAAAAGGTGGAAGGTCAAGTGAAAGATAAAACCCTCCAGTAAAATGGATTGATGCAGTGGCTATAACAATGTTGTTGTGTTGTTAAGTGCCATCAAGTCAGAATGGATTAGCAGTGTAAGTTCTTGCCACTAGGCCAGCAGAGTTCCCTG